TTGATTTTACGGTAGTTTTTATTCATCATGTGTACGTGTGTACGTGAGTTGAAAATACTCAAACTAAAGATGAGTACTCAAATGTCACGTTTTCTTTCTCTCCCCTGGCTTATTTCCATGAGTTTATTGACTATTGTTGACTATTGTTGTCATGGTTACAGTCACAAACTCATGCATATAATTAGAGACGTCCACTCGAGCCCAAAACTAATTAAATCTTACTAAATTACCGTTTGTCATTTGTGCATCTTGTCACAATAAGCCAAATAGATTAAAGTAAAGTCATTAAAAAAGTCCGAGTTTCTCAATGTAAACAGACCTCTAATAAGTTTAGGAAACTATTGAGTTAAAATGTGTAATTGTATCGGTTAGTTTAGTGTCAGTACCATACAATCTTACCATTCTAAAGTGTTTCATATAATTACGCTGTTTTGGCTGAAGATAACATTTATTAACTTTGAAAATTCCGCCAGAAAATTGAATCAGTACCAAGTCATGCACCAGCCGACCATGATTTATAGCATTGTGTTACTGTAAGAATCAGGTACAAACCTATTGTCATGAACCGTTAGTTAACAATAGTGTGGTTAATTCTTGTTCACGGTCATTCAATGTAATCTACGTTTTCAGATTGAGATAAGTAAAGCATTTACCCTTTAATAATGTGTAATATTAACATGTTAGACATGTTAAATATATAATATAACATGTTTTATAACATGTTTAATGAAATGACTACCACTAGCTAGTGAATTAGTTCCGCTACTTTTACTCTACTCAATATACAGGCTCTATATAATACAGTGTATAATATTAATTAAATGTATAGTCTTAATTCTTACCCACATAGACCTGCTTAATAAACATTATGAAGAACCAGTTAAAACTGATGATTGTTAGTTGCCGGTTAGTAGCTGGTTATAGTGCACTGAAATAGAATTTGTGGTTTTTAGAAAGTGTCAATATATTCAACCAATCAAAATACTCATAAAAATCAATGTGACCACTTTTAATCAATTTTCCAGTCAAAGTTTAGTAAAGTATGTTCAAAGATCTTATCGTTTTGAGTTGAAATACCGTGAGGCCCTGTATTATTATTATTATCATCAGAATTCTCAACTTCCGATTGTAAATATTTCCACTAAAGTAACCACTATAACCAAAATTATTGTTCAGTTAGAAGCTGCGAGTTACTGGGTGCGGATGTTAACGTAGCGACTTCAGTTCCGTTTAAAAATACAGAACCATACGACGATGATGAGGAGGTGACGATAACATGTGTCTCAAATTATTTTGTTAGTTGGGGTACTACTGAAGATGAGGGGACAGGACAGCTCGTTTGTAAGGCTGGGGTGTGGAAGAAGGCTGATGATCTCGACTATTCTGGAATTATGGGTTGTGTTGGTGAGTTATTAAGATGATAAACATTGTTTTTACTCCTTGGCAGTGAAACTCCCAGCTATTCCCTCTGACTCACTACTCCCCCAGAATGTGTGAGTGGTACAGTTGATTGTACAGACGGTAACTGCAGCGCTCAGGGTGTGTGTGAGTGTAAAGAAGGCTACAAGAAATCCTCAGCTGACCCCCGACTATGTGAAGAGACGACCTGTCCCCTAACTCTTTCTAACTCTGCTGCTGATACAGTAGGACCGTATAGCAGTGGAACAGTTGTGACAGTCACCTGTACTCAGGGGTATCATATTAAGGAGGGGGAGGGGGAGACGAAGCAAGTGTTGACTTGTAGTGAGGAGGGGTTCTTTACTCCTCTTGCCAAGGATTGTATAGGTGAGTAGACGAACCTTGATGCTTACAAGTTGTTTCTACTTAAAAGTTGCAGGCTGACTTTATTGAAAGTTAAAATTTGGGAGGTTACTTAACATGTAAACATAATAGGCTATTAATTACTGTAATTTATTAAATTGTTTATTTGCTACCAATACTTCATTCTCCCACAGCAGCAGGCATATAACTACACGCACTGGATGGATAAGAGACCAATCCACACGTTCATTTATGTTCTATTTTTGATTTGAATAAAGTTATATAATAATAATTTATTAAATATTATAGGTCTAATATCAACTTTATTAAGTTATAATATTCGCAGTGTGCGCTACAGGTGATGATTGCACTCTCGGAAATTGTAATGATAACGGACTGTGTGAGTGTGACGAGGACGAAGGATATAAACTGGTGAGTAGCTTTACAATCTCACTCAATTCCATGTTTATAAAAAAGATGTTTAATATACGGCCTCTCAATGATTTATGTCTTGAAGATATAGAGAAACAAAGCAAGAAGGGATTTTTAACAGTTTATCTCAGTTTTCCTGGGAAATTGGGCGAAGAAAATTTCTCTAACAAGCGACAGTGACCAATCAGATCCAATCATATCCTTGCTACCTCACCAGTATACAAGTCTATACGATAGTGACCCTTATAAAGTCTGATAAGGTTCTTTATCTCCAGGCAGATCATACTCTGAACGTCTGTGAGCTAGTGTCCTGCAAAGAAGACTACTGTAAAAATAACGGGGTATGTTCCCAAAAAGGAATTGTACTCGAGTGTAATTGTCCGAGTGGTACAGATGGAGATAATTGTGAACATTTTACCTCGTAAGTAACATTGTCGTAAAAATATCAATTTTATACTTACTTAATATAGTTTATTCGTTTCACCTCAATAGGTAGGCGTAACATGGTTGGTTGAGTTTGATGAACTTTTCATTAATAATTACATAATGAACCACTTAATGAAATAAAGTATAGCAATTAAATGAAATATAGCAACGAACTGTAGCGATTAAATAAAATGCAACAATTTCATATATTATTCCAGCTGTCATAATGCAGGGGAAGCAATTAAACAAATTAATTTCTCTAGCTGACAGTATTTTAAGATGGCACTTGCTACTTCAACAAATTGGGCGCTCTTTCCTCAAAACCAGTCCTCTTACCTAATTCTATCAACTCTAAACACCCCAGATACCCCTGCGAGTCTAAGCCCTGTAAAAACGGGGGTGCTTGTTCACGTGACATGTCTAACTTGCAAGATGTCACTAATCATTTGTGTGACTGTTCTCATCAGTTTGAGGGCGATAAATGTGAATATGCTAAAGTATTTTACATACCGTAAGTAATAATAGTTAATGGTTTTTATCATTTTGTAATTTGTTCATTATTTCCCTATTTTAGTGAACATGTATTTTCTTGAACTCTAATTTCATGATTTGATCTTCAACATGTGTTTTAGTGAAGGTGGCACGGGTGCTAGAATTAATAGTCTCACAGTGAAGTCAGCAGAGATTGAAGTGAAAATGGCTGCTGGTGCCTCATACATGTACTTAGCTTTGTTCAAGGTAATTTTACGTTTGAAATAAAACTTTCAGACCAACTTCAACGATTTTAAACAGTGAACTGTTTAAAATATGAAGAAAAAAAAGCCCATATACTGGCAACCATGCTGTCACATCATCCTCCTTAAATTTCGTTGAACGACAAATTAATGTAAAAAGCGTTACATCGTAGGCATACTTTAAGCGCGCGTGTTGTGCCGCGCAGCAAACATTTGGATTTCTGATATGACTGGCCGTGTATTATAAAGTTGGTAACTAATAATTAACGGTAGGGTAATCGTAAGATCATCAAACATCAATCAATTATGTACGGACGGTGATCAGGTCGTTTGTAGGCAGTTCCAATATCTTGTCACCATTTTTGCCCTCCTTTAACAATTCATCTCAAACAGGGAATTTATATAGATGATTCAGAAAATGACATCAAGATAGTCTTACGGAAGGTGGACGACAAAACTTTGGAATTATCCGTAACAGAACAGATGGAACCTTACAAAACCTCAACAAAACGAGCCACAGGATTAAATTTAGCGTCCGGAGGAGTCACTAAGCTGAAACTTTACATTGACGGTAGTTCGAGGGAGATAAAACTAGATGTTGACTCTGAGCTGAAAGTCACGTCAGCAAAATTAGCAGACTCGTTCTCTGAGATTTGGTTTGGAGGGAGCCCAGCAGACTGCACCTGGTATGAGACAGATTGTCTGGCTGGAGTTTCTAGAACAATCTACGCCCCGTTTGTGGGCACATTTCATGCTGTAAAGTTGGGAGAGGTGAAGTTGGAGTTTGATAGAATATCCTCTGATGGTTAGTGTTTTAAACTTCAAGTTTTTCTGTCCAGTCCATAGTAAGATAGTACGACATATAATTGATACGACAGATTTATGTTTCAGAAGCTTACACTCATTTTTGATCAGTTAAGCTTATTCAAATTAGCCAATTTGGATCGTTTTGTCACAATTTATAGCTCATAGATATTAGATTGACATGTGATCACTAAAAATGCGCAATGTCCTGTATCAGGTAACGCAGTAGCCAGTACAATGAGTTGTTCAGAATACTCCTGTTCTAACGATGGTTCCTGTTCGGATTCTGATGGTCACATCTCTTGTACTTGTCCTAACGGTCTGTTAAATTCGGTTCTATCCGACTTTTTATACTTTCACTGTTTAATATTTTCACTCGTAAGTTTTTCATTTATACCACGTTTGTAGTATTCAACGTTGTAATTACATTTTGTGTGTTTTTGTGTAGCACGAGCCACTCTTTACAGCTCCCAAAAGAAGGTTATATATCAGTAACAATTGAAAAGAATCAATTAATAGTCGTAAAACCAATAATCGGTTCTAAATAACGCGTCATTAAAATTGTATACAAAAATTGACAACCTTACATAACAGGTTATAGCGGACTAGATTGTAACAGATTTACAGGTTTATCATTTAACGGTTACACGAGCGATTTCACTTCTAATTTGAGGAAAATACCTATCAATCACGAGCAGCAAACTCTTACCATCGGTAAATAATAATCTTGTTATTTACCTTCCGATTTCAATGTTTGGGTATTTTATCAATTATTTTCATCAGAAATAGTCCAATAGTTAAAATTCGTATTTTACTCGCAACTTCCCAAAAATCTGAAAATTCAATGCCCAGATTTTCAGAAGTCAGTAGCGGAGGTGGGGGAGATTTTGCAACTGAATATGGGAACTAAATGTGACCTGAGTCTTAGTGCTGCTGGAGGTACTGGTTATTTATAATCACGTGTCGTGGGCACTGGGAAGTAATCTTTAATTCTGGAACTGATCTGAACAAATTGTTTCTTATTTATGGTCTCAAACAAAACTGTTCGACTTAACTGATAAATAATGATATCATAAGTGATGAAAACAATTTATATCCCAGGAACTCAATACATGATAGGAGATAAGCAGGTAGCGGTAGAAGGTTCCAAAATAACCGTTAAATTTGACGGTACAGATGCTATCATTGGAGAAACTGTAAAAGTTCCTTGTTCTTGGGATTTTTCTACCCCCTCGTCTGACATTAAGGTGATTTTTCTTTCCTGTAATTTTGAGTTTCTGATAGTTACACTACTAGTTACCATAGTTACACTACTAGTTACCATAGTTACACTACTAGTTACCATAGTTACACTACTAGTTACCATAGTTACACTACTAGTTACCATAGTTACACTACTTGTTACCATAGTTACACTACTAGTTAACATAGTTACACTACTAGTTACCATAGTTACACTACTAGTTACCATAGTTACACTTCTAGTTAACATAGTTACACTACTAGTTACCATAGTTACACTACTAGTTACCATAGTTACACTACTAGTTACCATAGTTACACTACTAGTTACCATAGTTACACTACTAGTTACCATAGTTACACTACTAGTTAACATAGTTACACTACTAGTTACCATAGTTACACTACTAGTTATTGCGGCGAGGCAGCATCATCAAGTTATAAATATCAAATTTGTTTGCAGATCAGGGCCAGTAGAATCGACCAATATAATTTTAATTGAATAGTTTTAATACCTTACTCGGGAATATTATAGCGGGTTAATTTATGAATGGGAAAATTAATGACCGGGAAAAATATGGCGGACTTTCCCAAAACCCGCCAAATTATCCCGGTCATGTATTTACCGGTGGCCGACCTTTCAAGTTTTTTTTCAGAGGTCAACCAATTTTCAACCGAAATTTTTGTTTTTGTTACTTGTTAAAGAAGTTATTTCAATTTGCAGTTATTGATATTACTCAGAAATAGAAAAAAAAGACACGTCTATTTAAAGGAAAATAAATCTAAGCAATAATAAGTCAAATCTTCATTAAAGCGTATTCTCATTCTCATTATCGTTAATGTCCCCTCCATTATCATTATTGATATCCCCCTGCTGCTGACCGTCAAATTCGAAGTTGTATTGTTGTCTTAACAAGACTTTCATTTTGTCCGCTAATGGGGCTACTGCTCTGAAGGTCAGCCGGAGCTTAATTTCCTGCCCACCGCTTGGTATTGGGGAACGTCTTGGCTTTGCATCTTCAACTGCTCCAGTAATCAATCCACCGTGGACCACCGTGAAATCTGATTTCTATGACCAAATTGTAATTTTTATAACGAAATTATGGTAACAACCGCCAATAAAGTTACAGCCCTCCATCCACTGCTTCAAAAGTCTTCTCTAGCACATATGAGACTTCAGGTAAAATATGATGATCACCACCCCCTTGGAACCCCATAATCTGAGTCGGCGGGTTTTTTTATGACTGGTAAAATTTTTGACCGGGAAAAATATGGCGGAATCTTCCAAAACCCACCACTTTATCCCGGTTATAATATTCCCGAGTAAGGTAGATAACATCACAATCATAATCTGCGTGCCCTTCGGGGATGAATATTAACTTATAACAATTATATATTATTTTTGAGTAAACATTGGAGCTGGTACTACGGACCAGTTCCCCAATCAATCAATCAACCGTACTGACTAAATTGTACAGCGAAACGTTTACTGTTCTCTCTCCCCGACAGTATAAGTTAGGAGGGAGCAACAAAGCAATGTTGAGGAGGAGAACAACCTCAAAACGGAGCTCTGCCCAGAAACTCTCAGACCAGAGATACCAGGGTTGTGTAAACTCTCTCAGTATTAACGGAGTGGAGCTGCTACAACTGGGTAACACCCTCAATAATGTCGTCAGTGATCAGTGTTCAGTGGACCTCCTACCTCATAACCCTTGTGAGGCGAGGCCGAGTCCTTGTGGTGCTGGCTGGTCTTGTTCACCTCATCCTGATGACTATTCTGGTGATTAACCAATAACCAGTCATAACCAATAATCATTCTCTCATTCGTCAGATTACTTTGATATAAAGCTAATCTTGTTCGTTGTGGTCATCCCAAATTCGGTATTTTCAAAATTTCAATCTTATTTAAAATATGTAACTATTTTCAAGCTCTCACTAACACACCCGATTCCGACCTCCAATATTTTGTCCCCAACAATGACTCTGTTCAGCGGTGTGCAAGTTCTCCTGTACGGCAGGTCACGAGTGTACGAGTAAGGGGGAGTGTTCAGAGTTCAGGAGTATTAGTGAGTGTATCTCGGTGTTGGGGTCTGACCAATGCAGGATTCGGTGGTACTACCAGTGTGTCTGTAGTGCGGGGTGGGAGGGTAATAATTGTGAGACTGATAAAACGGAAGGTAATCTGCCCCCACGTCTATCATCTGATTGCTAGAGTAGCAGCGTTACTATGTCAACTGTCAGCGTTACTATAGCAACTGTCAGCGTTACTATAGCAACTGCCAGCGTTACTATAGCAACTGCCAGCGTTACTAAAGCAACTGCTAGCGTTACTATAGCAACTACTAGCGTTACAATAGCAACTGTCAGCGTTACTATAGCAACCGCCAGCGTTACTATAGCAACTGCCAGCGTTACTATAGCAACTGCTAGCGTTACTATAGCAACTGTCTTATTAATCGCACTTGCTAATTCTACAAACCTACTTTTTCTCGCCTAAAGCAAATCCACTAAACAGCAAAAAACATTTATCCTAGTTGACACTTTTACATCTTTCAAGCTTTAAAAAACCCGGATTTTCTGATGGTTCACCTGGCAGGTGACGGTGGACTGAACAGCAACACGATAACCATTTTGATTGTAGCTCTTTTGGTGGTCATGGTTCTGGGGATTGTGATTGTCATTATCGTAAAGAAACAAAAGGTTTCCCCCATCAACGTCATCATATCAGGAAAAGGTAAGTGGGCAGTAATAGTATTAAATAGTATACTATTGAATACTTATAAGTTAAGATACGGAATATTTATAATACGGGTTCTTTTCGCTCACCAAGTACAAAGAGCAACGCTGGTAGCCAGCAAAGTTTTCAAAGTGAAAGCGAAAGTTCTTAAAATGGAAGCGAAAGTTTTTTAAATGCGCGTAGGTTATAGTTATAACCTTACTGGCTGTAAGGGCCTATCTCTGAAAGTAAAAGAGATAGAGACTAAGAGACTTTCGGTTTCAATTTCAGTTTTTAGCAAAATGTTCGCCTACTAAAACTAACTTACCCCCAAAAGGAAATTTGAAACAATGTAGATTTTGAGTTATCGCGAAAAAAACTACATTGTGATTTATTAAGCGCGCATGCGAGCATGAGCTCGCTGTGAAGACGCGATCACCTCTAATTTTATATGCTTATATGCTATAATAATATCACCTCTATACTATAAACACGCCCATATCAGCCAGTATACAGTTTGTATAAGGTTTGCTAGGCGCGCGCTACTTCGAAGAAATTTAGACGAGTAAAATCAACAATTTTCTCACCACCAGGTAATTCTAACGGTTGGTTTAGTCCGGAACCGCTGGATGTTACCATGGAAACACCCCCAATCTTATCAGATGGCAATCGAGCTGTGAAACTGAATTACTTTTGATCCCGCCCACTGTCGCGTGTGAACTCTAGTTATTTATCAGGTCTGTTCTAATATTGTGTCCACAATATTAATTCTAAGATTAACATAATATAATTATTCAACTTTAACTGCGATATAATCAGTGTCGCTGTGACGGGTTAGATATGACGTCGGGTTAAGTGTCTTGCGATTGGTGAACACAAATCAGGGACATGTTGATTTTAAATATTAATACTAATCTTTGAAGTTTGATTGTAATTACGTAATTACTTAATTATACAGTTCAATTCCACGTTCAATTCCACCTTTATTACCCTTAGTAACTGTTAAACCTTCAGATATTGCTAAGAAACTTCGCTACTGATCCGTCGGACGAAAAACAAACGTGATGTCGTTGTGAACCTGAAATAAATAACCTGTCACCAAACCACGTGACGTCACCAAACCACGTGACGTCACCAAACCACGTGACGTCACCAAACCACGTGACGTCGCCAAACCACGTGACGTCACCAAACCACGTGACGTCACCAAACCACGTGACGTCACCAAACCACGTGACGTCACCAAACCACGTGACGTCACCAAACCACGTGACGTCACCAAACCACGTGACGTCACCAAACCACGTGACGTCACCAAACCACGTGACGTCACCAAACCACGTGACGTCACCAAACCACGTGACGTCACCAAACCACGTGACGTCACCAAACCACGTGACGTCACCAAACCACGTGACGTCACCAAACCACGTGACGTCACCAAACCACGTGACGTCACCAAACCACGTGACGTCACCAAAACACGTGACGTCACCAAAACACGTGACGTCGAATAATCTGCCATCCATTGACTGGGTATTTGACTCAGTCGAACGTCATATTATTATTTATTTGTTTAATGAATTTTAATGTACAAATGTAATCAGTAATTAAATATCAATTAATTATCTCTAGTGGTGGCCTATCTAGAACGTTGTTACCATAGTTACACGACTTAAGTTACCATAGTAACAGTGATTTCGAGAATAAAGTAATAAGAACTGTCAACTTACTCATCTTAGAGTCTCTTTTAGTTTTAAGTTTAATGTGTAATTGTTAATTGAACTGTGCATGAATTGCCGTTGAGTTTTCATTTATATTTTTTTAACTATGCAAAGTTTACTCTAATCATTTCAAAATTCAATCAGCCTTAAAAGTTCGTTTTATGACAAAAATGTTTGTAATTTTAGTTATACTTTAGTTTAAGTTACAAATTTTATTTTTGGTATACGTATTTATAATATAAATATGTCTTCAAAATGAGATTTTTGACAGAATTTGCAACTTAATCCTCTTCTCATACTGAAATTAAATTTATGTACATATTATCAAAAGATTAAGATGGTCGCATCCAAATTTGTTTGCATGGTTTGTAATTTGTATGTTGTAACTTATTTTGAAATCAAAATTATTGTAAAATAAATAAGGAATGAGTTATTTCTGGCTCTTACTAATGCGCTCGCTTAAGGGCTCTGACTAATTCGCTCGCCCAAAACGGTCGCTTAGATACGCGCTAAGCGACCGTATCTAAGCGACCGTAGCGACCGTTTTGCCACGATGAATACATGACCTTCTCATAAAACGGGGAAATAACAGGTGATCTTTCGGAGAGTAGTTCACAGAGTACTTTTAATACTACTACATGCAGTACTACTATTATTACTAACTGGTAGTACTAGTAGTAGTAGTAGTAGTACCACATACTGTGAATAAAAGTAACCCGCGACTAATTTGTTGCACATTATTTTAGATGTATCGGTTTCGGATAACGTTAGACACGAAATCACTAATACTTTATAAAAATGATGAAAAAGTATTATAATGATCACAGTCTCGTGAGTAGGATTGGATGGATCCAGCTTTGCTAGCGCAGGAACTGGGAAGGTATGCTCCACATGGGTAGGATTGGATAGATCCAGCTTTGCTAACGCAGGAATTAGGAAGGTATGCTCCACTTTTAGTGGCAGGATAAACTCAGTCTGTAAGCTTCTATACTAATTACTACTACTACTACTATGTCGGAGCTAAGTCCGATCTACGCCAGATAACACCCTCCATATATCCCTGTCCCGCATCAGGGTTCGCAGTTCCTCTTTAGAGTTTGTCCCAACTTCCTTCAGTAACATAGACAAGTAGCTTTGTCTTGGTAGGCCTTGCTGTGCTCTACCGTGCGTAGGTTCTAAATCACTGGCAAGTAGCTCAGGATGTCTGATGCAGTGTCCCGCCATTTTTAATCTCCTGCTTCGTAACTTGTTTGACAGCCTTGGTAGACTTACCATACAAAGTTATACTGCATACTGGCCGGAGTTATTTTAGAGTTGTGCCTCACCTTTGGCTTTAACTCTTGATTTCTGCAAATCTAGATTTTCTGCGGACGTTTTTCCCGTTTAAAATTGCTAAAAACTTATTTTTGGTTTAATAATTGTGTTTTCGAGGCTCGAAATTCGATCCACACGCAAAAATTCTCTGCTACTCTCTGTAATTAGTAATTACATAAGTCTTCATAAATCTTAAAGTTAAACATTAGCATTGGGCTACAAGGAAATGACACTATCTGTAATTACATAAGTCTTCATAAATCTTAAAGTTAAACGTTAGCATTGGGCTACAAGGAAATGACACTATCTGTAATTACATAATTCTTCATAAACTTAAAGTTAAAGTTAAACAATCGCATTGGGCTACAAGGAAATGACACAAAATGAGTACCTATAAGTAATAAGTATGACATATAATAATTCGACGAATCTTACGAGCTTGGCTCTCCCATTGCATTTGCACACCTTTCCTGTCTTTACTAACTGGCTCGTTTATAGAATCTTAATGTTAAAGTTATTTTCTTTTACTTTAAAAGAGAAATTAAGATTTTGTGACAATAAGCACGTAGAATTGTAGGTATATTATAATTTTTTCATTATCTTTTCTTACAATAATAAGATTAAGAAAAGATAATGAATAAATAATATTAGGTGTGTAGGATTTCAAACATTTCACAACTCACATAATTATTGTGCATTAAATTTCTATTCCGTTAACATTGGTTAGTACTTTTTGGCCAGTCCCAATCAACAATCAAAATAACCTTCATAACATTAACTGCCAACTGGACCATAGTTAGACATATACCGTTTGGACTGTGGTCTCTGCATATTATAGAGTGACCTGCAATTCTACAGGATCACCCGAACTCTTAAAGGACACAATTATCTTCCATATCAAGGATTGAGTACAGTATGAGTAAGCTGCGTCTTGTAGACTGGGCCGGCAATTTCACCACTTCAATTATTCAAGGTACCAAGTTTCTTAGTACAGTAAGCTGCGTCTTGTAGACTGGGCCGGCAATTCCACCACTTCAATAATTCAAAGTACCAAGTTTCTTAGTAAAGCAGCTCTTAAAGTTAACCGTCCGTTAGACAAGGAGTCCTATGTGGATGAGCATAGTTTATCCTAATTTAATGGGTGCTTACCATTAGTTTAGCATATTAAGATTTGTCCCGCTCTGCTCTCCCAATGCCTTGTATCACGTCGTGACCCCCAATGTCGTTTCACTATATATCCTGTACTTGTAGCTTTGTAGAGTTTCTACGCTACAGGGGGAGCCGGGCACTCAAAATACAGGGCGAGCCGCGCACTCGTGCGCGGTGGGTCATACAACGTATGACAACCAATGCCCCAGCCCGAAACCAACCACTTTCGGAAAAATCTCCAAGTTTGCAATGTAAATCAGTTCTAAACGGTCAACGTTTAGACAAGGAATCCTATGTGGATGAGCATAGTTTATCCTATTTTAATGGGTGCTGACCATTAGTTTAGCATATTAAGATTTGTCCCTCTTTGCTCTCCCAATGCCCCAGCCCGAAACCAACCACTTTCGGAAGAAAATCTCCGAGTTGGCAATGCAAATCAGCTCTAAACGGTCAACGTTTGGACAAGGAATCCCATGTGGATGAGCATAGTTTATCCTATTTTAATGGGTGCTTACCATTAGTTTAGCATATTAAGATTTGTCCCTCTCCCAATGTCCGGACACAAACCTTGCCAGAGTTTTCTTAGAGAGTTAGAGTTGTGCCTGACGTTTGGTTTTAACTCCCGCTCTCTGGAAATCTAAATTTACCGCGGACGTTTTCTCTCGGGTAAAATCGATAACAACTGATTTTGGTAACGAACACTGCAAAGACGCAGCGAGCAGGATAATGCCATTAGGCCCACTGGTCGCACTGTTTTGTGATAGGAAATTCTAGAAGCTTTACCACTCATTGGAATTTGGCATTGAGTATGGTTTTTATGAGCTGTCAGTCTTCAACTTTTAAAGTTTTAAGCAAGACAATTCAAAACATTTGTAATATAGTGTGTTTTCTTTTTTTCCCCACTGCACTACCTCGCCGCAAAATGCAAATGATCACATTGAATACCATCTCGTCCATAGCTACGTTGCAAAGTAATGACGGTCTTATTTGTCCTTAGTAACAGTTAACATGACACAATATACTAAATTACAGAAATAGGTCGCACTTGAATCAGTGGTGTAACGTTGCCTGTTGGCGCCAAAAAAGCGCCCCCTGTTGATGCCCCTTCCCTTTTGGCGCCCCTCCTAAAATTGAACAAATTAGGTGATTTTAGAGGATACGTCGGTAAAAAATCTCTAAAAAGTGTGTTACTTTCTAGAGCAAAACGTGCAGTTTTGCTAGTACTTCAGTTAAGTTTTTCAAAATTATCCCACATTCAAACGACAATTTGGCCAAGGATGTTAAGTACGTAACGTATCTTATAAACGTACGGCATACGAGCGTATTCGGACAAAATTTAACATCAAACTTTTTTTCTAAAGTTCTAAAGCTGCAAAATGTGCCGTATTTCACCTATGTCTTAGAATTTAGACAAACGGCGTATTTTCGACTGGTTTTTCGGCGTACTTAACATCAATGATTTTTGCGCCCCTAAGCCCTAAGATGCAAAATGAAATTTGTGATAGAGCCGAACCATTTTTTCTTTTGAATGCACCTTTTTGTTGCCTCTATATCTTACTTATAAGTCAGAGAATTATCTTTGCTTGTCGTTTGTACGACCGCCCACGTGCAAATCAGACGAGAAATAGGTAGTTGCGTAGTTACCATGGTAACGAGGATTATTACACGCACGTGCACGTGCAATGATTGTTTTAACGTCATTTTGATCAGTTTTATTGATATTACGCTGTGTTTAGTACGAGCAACATTTTAATTGGCTGTATCTTCGGTTCATATGTAGGATATTTTTTGACGCCATTTAAACTTACCAACAAAGAATACTATTAGCTTCCTCCCTGTGACCACGGGTTTTCTAGTCATATAATCTTACTTATAATTCAGAGAATTATTTTTGTCTGTCTGTACGACCGCCCACGTGCAAATCAGACGAGAAATAGGAATTTAGGTAACAACCAAAAGGTTCCATAGCAA